ACTCACGGAAGCGGATCTCCTGGGCACCGGCGTTCGACATGGCGAGGTGTCTTGACAAAGATCTGTTGGTCGGTTTGCTGGTTTGAACAGACAGTTGCGAAAAGCAGAGAATGCTTGGATGCTCTGTCCTGAGAGATTATAATGGTCTGGGCTTGTTAGTTCTCTTATATCTGGCCATGTTACACAAATGTTTCCTGGTAGACGCTCTGACCCTCACCCCACGGGGATGAATGGCGTGGTCATTGTGCCACAGTGACAAAGATGTGGAATGTCCGGGATGGAAAGATCAACGTTTTCGTTGCAGGTCGCACCCATTTGGCCCGCTTCGGAGGACACAACGCGCAACAACTGCGACTCGCTATCGCACAGCCCTCATCTCATCGCCACACATAGCTTCCTTTCACGCAACAAACGGTTTTACCGAGTCCAATAATTGCTGCACATTGACTTAGCAGTAATGGTTCGTGTATCCGAGTGTTCAATTGTGAGTCATTGTGCTCTTGAAGCATTGAGGAGCGGGTGAGTCGGTAGCGGCCTTCCTTTACATTTACATATTTGGCCCAACAGTGCGCCGCTTGAACTTGCCTTAATGCCTATTCTCGGTAGGATAGCTTGAAGATTCGGCAGCATGCGATCATCATCTTTGTCGGATGGCAGGAATATACCTTGCGCACTAGGATCAGACAATGACTTGTAGGGCAAGGAAGCGACCGTTTCGGGGCTAGCGCACCTTCGTCGAAGCCTTCACGCCTTTCCCGCCTTGTTCCAGTGCAAATGGACAACAACCACAACAGGTTTCGTTCGGAGATAAAGTGTCTGTTTATGCCTTCAGGGTCTCAGCAATTCTGCATAGTGGTAATGAGGCAGCAGATCAAGGAGAGTAGAACAACGTCTACCGATCAACCAACGTCTGGACAATTGAAGGATCGGTTTATAGCTGTATAGGTACACAATCTACCTCCTCCAATGGTGCCCACCAATAGTCCTCGCCACACGCTCTCGCATCGACACATAAACTCTCTGCATATCAAACGTTACCCAAAGCTTATAATGCCCCCTGCGTTGCATTCTTTGCGGCAATCTCAATCACCATCATCACCCCCATCGCCCCCGCAATATACCAACTCAGCGTCGCGATGGAATCCTGCACCGGTCGCTGGTGCGCATAATTGGTCGCACACGCCGCGAAGATAAGCCATGGGACGGAGTACGAGGCCCAGATGATGCGATCTGTGCGAATTATCAGCATTCGGCACTATCCAAACCACTCCCGCAGAACGGCGCCTTCGGTTCCCGTGCAACATACCGCGAGCAGACTGTAGCCCCAGATCGGGAAGGAAAAGGCAGGCAAGAATAGTGACTATCCCCATGAATGCAGCGATAGCAGCGTCTGAGACATGCTAGCTTAGTTCTTGGACACTTGTCCTGCAGCCTCTCGGAACATGGAGAGTGAGCTTACACTTGCTGATTTGGGTCAATGGCGTCTGTGCCTCGGGGCTCGGGGTGACCTCATCTTCCCTGATCGCGCGATGCAGGCACAGCCCGACATTAAGGTGATCGAGGGTTGCTGCTCGGAGTTCTGAGCCGCAACCGATGTCCCAGTTAGCGGCTTGTTTTGTGGCAAATTCCACCGTTACATCGTGTTTAGTGACGAGGGCTTGGATAATGTAGGTGCGAACTTCGTCGGCGGTCGCGCTGTCCGAAAGGCTGGCTTTGGGTGTTATGGTCAAAATGGTCTTTCGGTAGGCACTTACACATGTGGTGCAAGAAAGGGTGAGGCAGGAGCGGTATGATTGGGATCATAAATGGGGTTTGTTAGATAGTTTCCTCTCCTTATACCTAGGGGGAGCCGAGGCCCTCTGACAAGCGACGCTGAAAGCTCCGAAGCTACTTTTGTCGGGCATAGTGCGATGGACGAACGATAGCTCTGTCATCTAATCAAGGTCTTACATTGACGTCATTCTTGGTATGCTAGCACGCTAGAACTGTGGGTCAAGTTTAAGGGAGAGGCTTAGTGTAGGCCTCAGCCTCACTGGGCGTCTTGATCCCCGTGCCATTGTTCCGACAAGCCGACCCCGTTGAATACCCGCGGTACAGTGCCTTGCACCACCAGTCTGCCTACATGGAACACTTCGATTTTGTTTCCCAAACCCTCAAGCCCCAGTAGAAGTCCTCATAGGGTCAGTATCGGAGCCAAAGCTCTTGGCAAGCTATAGCTTGGTGTACAATTAGGTTACAGTTTCGGCGTGATTTAATATTGCGTATGTTTTGATACACGGACCTTATCCAGTGTAGAAAACATGAGATATATACTTCAAGAGTATGAAGTCTTATCTCTACATATGTATTATTTTAATATATTGTTCTGCATCTATCTTCTAAGCCTCCTACTTGGCGGTGAATCTCGCGAAGTGTGTTAAATATACGTTGTGTTTTTGAGTAGGGATTTTGGAACCAAAAGAAAGAATTCAGGCTGTTTAAGTGTAGGAGAAGAACAAAATAGGTTATAGTATTAGCTACGACAGCAGAAGCCAGGTGCTGGACCATCCATTCATAGTTACAACGCAATATATGATCAAATCTGCACTTTATCGTCGAAGGAATAAATTCATAAAGAATCGCCATTTGCGTCCAGCGGCTTGGAAAGCCGAGAATTGTTGACAGTAGCATGCATGGTATTCAAACGAATGTGGCAGACTAAGTAATGTAACATGTGTTTGCTGACATTTTGAAGGCTGGACTGCTGCTATTCCCCAGTCACGAAAGGTGTTTGATGAGGATATAGCGTGTGGATGATGCGAGCCTATTATGTTGGTGCGAAGGTCGGCACATTTTCTAAGAAGGTTTAAGGCATCAGGGGCCTTCCTAGCTGTTTTAGAGTAGATGCAAGTTCTTGCATGCTGGTCAAAGTATCAGGATCCTCTAGTCCGCAACCTTTTTCTCGTATTTCTAGCACGTTTCGAAATACAATCTCGGCCTCGCTATATCTTTCATCACTCTGCAGGCAGCCTCCGATTCTTGCCAGAAAGTGATGGCACTTGTCCTGGTGTGCCTGGAATTCTGCGCTGTTTACCAGATACAATGCATGAGGTAGGTAGTCCCTCCACTTACGTCGATTGTCATGGTTGCTGTTCGGAAACACCTGGGCTAACCGGTTGCCTGCCCTTTCTACCCAACTGTTCAGGCTCTTCCTTTTGCGAAGCCAGTTTCGAGTGGCGAGATGTACAAGTCGATGAACACTGAAAGTGCTGTCATTACCCTGTATGCTGACAAAAGAATATGCTTTGAGAAGACCTAATGCTTCTACTTTCCGTTTTGCTGAAGCTGCGGCCGGCAAAATGGACTCCGGTATATTCCGTGGATTGATACAAGCCATGAACGACAAATGGTCGCTCGCTGTTTCATCCACTTGTTGAATTTGTGAGAATGACACCAGCCAGGTTGTGGCCACTGGGTTCTGAATCTCTGCATAGCGTCCATCATCCTCAAACTCCTCGTTGAGCATTTCTATTGTGCTTGCCTCCTGTTCACCCAGCAACAACAAGTATCTCTCAAAGGAGATACCGTTCTGATTCATGTAAGCTGCGGCTTGACTGATTGCCAGAGGGAGAAAGGCAAGCTGCTCAAGGAGTATATTTGCCATGAGGTCATCTTGAAGCAGATCTTTCTGGACTAGGAATTCTTTGAAGATCTTCTTGCCAGTCTTCTGATCCACATCAGGAATAGAGACTATGTTTGCTGCCAGCTTTAACGCGAGCTGACGATTGCGTGACGTGAAGAGCACATGGCCATTCTCACTCTGAGGAATAATATCCTTGAGTGGTGGTGCTGAGGGGCTGTTCTTGATCCACATATTCATCTCATCTGCGTTGTCGAAAATCAGGATCCACTTCTTGTCGGTCTGGATGAAGTAAGCCTGGAGCCGCTGTTTTACCCCGGCTGGCTCCACATCCTGGAGCCCCACCAGACTTGCAATGCTCATGAAAGCCTGTTCAACAGCCTTATAGCTGGTACATGGGATCCAGAAGACCGAACATTCAGGCTCTCTGTCGCGCATGCGGTAGGCGAACTGCAGCGCAATTTGGGTTTTTCCTACCCCGCCCAATCCAGTAATGGCAAGCTTTCTCGGTCTGTCTGGCGCAGAGATCCAGTCCTCTAATTCCTGTATCTCTTTCCGCCGGCCCACGAAATGCAGATTTCTTGCAAAGGGAATCATTAGGTGGCGAGAATTGCTCGTACCTATTAATTCTTTAAGATACTGACAGTATTGCACTTTTATCTGATGATTTACTGACCTTTGTAGTTTACCGGCATCCAATACTCCAAAAAAGCCTTCGCCACTGACGCTCCGGTCGCTGCTGCATATGCCTGCCACACCTTGCCCTTGTGGCTGTCGGCATAGTTATCAACGCCTTTAATAATGACACATGGAACATTATCCCATACTCCTGTCCCCTCCATCTCGAACGCAATGACCTTCTCTCTATTGACAATCTGATCACGATACTGTCCTGACTTTATGACCGTATCGGCAGAGGCAACGGGCCCAATGTATATGGAAGTCCGGATAGCATCCGAGATCTCTCGACATCGGACTTGTTGACTTGGATCGCAGTTCAACTCGTCGCACTCCTTCCGTAAAGCCTCTTCGCAAATTTGGTCAGCTGCATCAGTCGTAGAACAAGAGCACCTAGCAAAAGAAGCAGGCTTGGAATGCTTGTGCAGATAAGAGGCATTGAAAAGGATATCGCGGACCCCGGGATGACACCACCCAGTCCCTGTCTGTTGGAGGGAGTGAAGGTATTGCTGCGTCTGGTCCTGCATCTCACTGAGTGCATTTTCCGTGCGAAGGCCATTTAGAAGAGCCCGAATCTCTCGACCTGGCCTGCCTAGCGTTTCCTTAACGTCACTCTTCCGTTGAAACCCTCCCGGATACTGTCTGCCAAAGTCATATTCGATCACCGAGTCACTGATAATCACATCGCCAAGGAATATCTCTTGGTACTTGGGGGGCGAGGGGGCGCCTCCGCAGGTACCAACTACCAAAGCTAGCTCAATGCTTGTGTAGCTGACTAGCAAGCTAGAGGCAACAGCAGCTGCACTGCCCTTGCCCACTCCAGGCATATAGCACAGGACCACGTCGTGCTTGCCAATTCGTCCATTTAAGTATGCGTTCGCGTCACCTCGTTGTTTGCCGTAGTGTTTTCCAAGCCGATCATAGGTTTTATCAAATAGGGCCTCGACCGCTTCCGCCTCGAGAGGGAGGGCGCAGATAATCGCGATCGCAAAATCGTCGCGGCTTCTCGGTCGCATTTTGCAGCACGGGTTATAAAGGGTTTCAAGTAGAGATTGAAGCAGGTTTTGCCAGGTCGGGTTATTTGACAAAAGGCCTAGAAATGGAGGGTTAGAAAAGCTGAAGTTATAGTAAATAGAGGCAGCCTTATGTTTTCAGCCTCGCGCTTTTCTCCCAATCAAACGACAAAAATAGCCGCCCAGAAGAGGGGTAGTGTGCGACTGATACCCCATCGTTTCACTGGACCGAACAGTAAAAGATGCCCACTTGGCCTGGAGGAAAAGTATTGCCGTAGCGCAGACCGGGGATCATCTGGGCTCTCCGATATCGACACTTTGCAAACAGCATACAGGGCTTCCGGATACCAGTGTCACTACCTACACTCTTCGTTTGTTTCAGCAGCCCCGGGATGAAACCACACTAGACCTAACCTGGAAGAGGTAAGAATAATTATCTAACATTACATAACACAGTCGTGTAATAACTAACGTGTACTGAATATGGTAATTCATAGAAACAAGTAGACTTGTATAAGTGGCAAACTGGCCATGATTACTAAATAATTAGAAGTCACGGGACGGTTCTGATTGTACCAAGTAAAAGTATTATAGGCGTGGCACATCCCAGACCCTTCTTTTATAAAGAGATTAGAAAATAAGAGACCGAGGTAGAGGACAAAGAATTTTCCCTAGGGGAAATCAAGTCTTAGAATTGGAACGCGCCCATCTGGTAACCCAAGGACAAGCGTAGTATTCTTAATAGCAAAACACCTAAAAGATCGATAATCAGTAGGAAGCCACAGGATCCTTTCATCTCGAAGAGAGACCCAGGAATCCGCAACAGAAATAGAATAACTCGTAGTAGATCCGTTGAATACCGAGGAGACTGTGGAGACCGTGCCGGAATGGCCCGGCAGCGTGCGCTGCTCGACGCCCGTGGCCGCGTCCCAGAGCTTGATGGTCTTGTCCCACGAGCCCGACGCCAG